GGAGGATCACCAGCGACGAACATATCTATACGGCGCGGGATCATCACGAGCGACGGACAAAATATCTACATGCACGCGCCTCGGACTGGGATGTGGGGCATCCTCGCAAAGCCACCCTGTAGCCATGGAGTCGCGGCCGAAGAGCATGGACCTCGAGGCCGTAGATATGGCCGTGCTCCCCACCAACGAATGTAAGAAGAAAGAGCAAGAGAAAGAGAAAGAGAAAGAAACAAAGAAAGAAACAGAGAGAGGGACAGAGACAAAGCGTGAGAGAGAGAGGGAAAGAGAAAGACACTTCAGACTGACAGACATAATGATTGACTCTTGGAGCCACACGCTGCCAGTCTGCAGAATGCTACGTGCTTGGGGAACGACGAGGCCATGGCACGGATCGCTGCGCGACGTCCCAGCGCACTGAAGGGGCCCAGAAGTACCTGAGACCCTGGCAGGATTGCACTGGCGCGATCGTTGGAACTCGCAAGGCCGCGCGCGCCGGCCGCACACGAACGCGCGCGCCCGGCACGCCAGAAGGGGGAAGAGAGACAGGGGGGAGGGTTAACAAAAATATGATAAACAATAAGAGATCCAAGCGAAACACACAAAAAGATAAATCCACGCCTCTTGGAGGGAGACCAGAGGTGTGGGGTTGCCAGCAATGACCGCTCTAGACGGTCCCTGGGGTTTCTGATGGCCCTTGTCACCGAGGCCGCCCAGCGGCGGCACTTGCACGGAGGCGTGGAACCAGGCGCGCAAGACAACATTCGCCGACGCGAAGGAGGAGAAAGCGGGGGAGGAGGACGGGGAGGCAGGGCACCACGCAACGGGGCCAGCGCAGGCCCACCGCGGCGCGCTCTTGGCGCGCGAGCTCGCTCGGGAGCCCGCAGCTGAGCACCCAGCGGGCGCGGGCCAACTAGGGCTGCTGGTCCTGGTCGTTGTGCCTGTCTACTTCGGCCGCCAACCAAAGATTGGCCTCGGCGCCCGGTCCCCCCCAGACCTCGAGGACGAAGGGGACCATGCGCGTGCTTGTCGCGTTCACCCCTCCTGCTGGCCTCTCTATCCCAGCAGGCGGCCAGTCGGGCCTCCGACTGTGTTCCCGCGGCCAGACGTCGCACCGTGAGATCGAGCCAGCGCCCCCCGTCGTCGTCCTGGTACTCCAGGTCGAGCACCGCGCGCTCCGTGTCTCGGCCGGGCGGCTGCCTGTCCCACCAAGGGACCCTCTGTTCGAAGAGTGGCTGTTCGTGTCGCCACCTTCGCAGCAGGCCTCCCAGCCAGCGCGCGAGCCGCGCGCGCTGGCGCACAACGCCGCCACCATTCTGGCAGGCGGCACCATGGAAACCGCGGTTGTCCAGCAGGCGTCCGCTGAGCTGCCCGCTCGCGCCGCGCAGGCCACAGGCCGCCGCCGCCCCCGCAGGCTCGCTGCGGCTGCACGCGGGCCGCCCGAGGTGCAGCCGGCTGCTCGCGGCGGTTTCCCAGTGGGCGTTCTCCATCTAGCAGGGCGCCTCCGTGGGGTGGTTGAGAAAGGCCCCAGCCCCAGGCCCCGCCTATCCGCGCAGTTCGGCTTGCTGCGGGAGGTACAACCGCTGCAAGAGCGCAGCGTGCTTTGCCTTTCGCACCTTCTCCACTGCCAAGCCTTGGGCCAGGGCATCCTCCAGCGTTCCGCCGTCGGCGAACTGGAACTTTTGTTGCTCGAAGCCGCGCCGCGCGGCCTCCATCGGAGATCTACTGACCAATCCACACCCGTGCCAGTCAGGCCACGCAGAATCCTGCAGTATCCTGCAGGACCCTGCACGCAAGACCCGGGTCAGTGCACCCCTGCCTGGCTCTGCAAGATCCCGGCTGAACCCCGTTTGCATTGACCCCCGCCCTTTGGCCAGCGCTCTGGCTGAACCCCTGAGCCAGCGCTCTGGCCGACCTGCAAACGGGGTTCAGCCAGCGCTCTGGCTGAACCCCGTTTGCATTGACCCCCGCCCTTTGGCCCCGACTCCAGCTGGCTCGTAGTGTCCCGGAGCATGTCCAGGCAGTCCGCCGGCATGCTGCTGCCGAGGTCCCGCGCGACCTCGGCCGCCGCGCCTGTCCAGGAAGCCAGGAAAGCGGCGCGGCGCCGCATCGTCGCCAGCTGCGCGCCCAGCCCGCCGAGCCTCGCAGGCAGCCCCAGCAGCTCTGTCGCGTTCTCTTCGAAGTCCCGCTGCAGCAGGGTCCCCCAGCAGAGCGTCAGGAGGCCGCCGTAGGCGGCAGCGGAGGTCTCCGGGGCGCGTTCCTGCCTGAGCGCGCGCTGGCTTGCGGCCCCCGCGTAGGTGCGCAGCAGGGCCCCTGTCGCTTCGTCAGCCCCGTCTTCTGCAGGCGCTGCAGGGTGTCCCAGACCTTGCGCGTACGATCGGCGGCCCGTGCGAGGCTGCTGGTCGGCGCGCCAAGGGATGCTTGAGTGTCCTCCGTGTGGCCGCGCGGCCGCAGGTGTTTGCCGAGCACCGAGAGGCAAGCTCAGACAGACAGACAGACAGAC